TTGATTGCCGAAGAAAGTACTAGTAAAGAGAGGCTTACGTTGGCTGGATCGATTCGGCAATCAATATCGACCGTGGATTGTGCTTCTCCTGCGGCATTTCTGTAAAAGATGGTGGTACGTTATTATGAAACATCTCAGTTTTTTAAAAATGGTTTAAAAATCCTTGTAAGCGAGCCACTAATTCCGTAAGACTGTGCCATTTTCACTAAAGGGGCGAAGAAATAGGAAGAAATTGGCTGTGGCAAGGTATGAGCGTACCCTTACAATTCGCGCTCAAAAAGCATGTCCCAAGTGAGTCTCAGCTACGAACGGCTTCCACGATTGTAGGATGGGCGGAGGCAGTCAAGCTTAGCATTTTCTGTGCGCAACCCTCTTTCTTTCTATCAAAAAGGGGGGAGGGTGGGGCGTCATAATAAAAGAGGCAGTTTGTTAGACCTAACGTCGCGCGCACCACCAGCTACGCTTTGACGGGGCAATTTAGAAAGCAGACCTTCGTGAGGGGCCTTGACGGAAGGGTGTCGAGCCTTACAAACATGAGTCACCCCTCTCCTTTCAGCAGTTTAGTTAGCGTGAATGAGTATCGATTATACGCGCGCAAAATCAATATTGATTCACACACGTTCATGCTCATAGGATGCATATAGGTGCGAAGGCAGCTTCACTGAGTAAACAAAAACAGCTGTAAGTAAACAAAGCAAAAGGCGATTAGATTCGACATTATCGTACCTGACGACTAGAGTGTAAGTTCCGCTGTCTTCTGGGTAACAATAGAGAATATTCAGAGCGATGTAGCCAAAATCTTGTGATAGGACGAAACGATGTGCTTTCATTAGCGGACGTCCGTTTACTAGCCATTCGTACTGAAAAAGCAGACATATTCGGACCTTTTGCTTTCATAGAAGAGATTAAGCCAATTAGAAAAGCAAAGGGAAGGATTATTCGGAGTAATTCGGATTAGTGGGGGCACAAAATGGTTGGTAGCGAGCCTGTACAGCAGTCAGCCTGCGGACCTTTCACTTCTTGTAACTAAAAGGCTCAGCTGCACCATTCTTGGGCAGCTCCAGCAAGCAGTTCACAGGTCTCACTCAGAACGAGACGCTGATAGTTTAACACAAGGAATCAGAAAAACCTGCAAAATGCCCCCTCTGCAAGCCGAAAAACACGAAACATCGCAGATCAGCAAAGAGTATCTCGAATGATACCAAAGAGAGTAAAGGGATGTGAGAAGAAGGGAAAGTTTGGGACTATGTTGGGATGGAGGGGTTCGATTCAAGGTAGAAGGTCTAGGACCTGCTACCCTGGTCCTGGTTCTGAAAACAGTGCCCGGTACCTTCTTTCTCGTTGGACCACGAGTTCTGTGTACAAGTGGTGTCCCGGCAGGTGAGGTCTTGCAACGCGCGCGGTCCAGAGGACCGATTCTGGATCACTTCCCGAGCACTGACTTGTTCATCGCCTTCCCACAAGTCAATATGCAGACCAAATCATATTTGAACGCCATTAAGAGGCTAAAGCCGGGTGCTAGGCGCATTCCAAAAAGGTTTGGTCAGCCATTTTTCCCCCCATCACTGTGCGATCTTCCATCTCACCATTTTTACCGGGTCCCATGCCATTCCTGAGCAATAAAAGACCCAAAGAATTGATCGCGCTATCGATTTTCATTTCCGATTCGTCCCTGAGACTGTCCACCCACGCATTTTCTGTCAGCACACTGATTTTGGACGACATGTGCACTTGCGCGACGTAAATCCGATAGGCAAACGCTGAACGGCGCACTGGCGTTTCATGGCGCTAACAAATAGCTTGCTGACGAGCAATCATTGTGTCAAATAACTGTAGTTGGGAGGAAGTAAACTCCATATCCCGGAGGTGGAGTAGGCGTGGCTGCGTACTTAGAGTGAATGTGGCGGCTGCCATCCTGGTGGAACATTGCCATTTCTGGAGGACCGTAATTATGTCTTGAATGAAACAAAAGACAAGATCACATATAAATATCATAAAAACAGCCTATGTCCATATGCTTATTATGCGATCTTGAAGTGAAGCGAGCAGCCACGCCCCCTCAAACTCTAGGATATGGGGGTCGTAGGGCGTGATGTTTTGGAAGTGCTCCTGGCTAACACTCTCAGACCACATTGAGCTGTTATAACCCTAACTTTGTGCCAAGCGCTAACCGCAAGCTAACTATCTCAGTTACCCTGTAACAGGTTCAAGTAATAAATCAATACCGTGAGAGTGTTGTCGTCGGCCGGTGCAACCTGAGCTTCGAGATAAATGTTGTCTCCTTCGTTGCACTGAATAGCTGGACCCAGTTGCTTGACGAATGTCGGCACCTGAAAAAGCGCAGTCTCGGAACGCTCAGGCTCTCCTTACAAAAATATCGAAGAAATATCATGAATATTTAACCGACCTCTTTTGGTGCTTCTGGGAGCTCTTGTGGTTTTGGCTTGGGCGCTTCGATTTCTTGGATACGTTGGTAGCTCTTCGGGTGCTGCACTTGTCCAAGAATAGCGTCTTTGGCTGAAGAGGTCAAATTAAGCAGACCCATTCTGGTGCCATTGGATCTAGGGCGGTTCGGGGACAGGCGACGAGGTTCAGTCGTAGTTTTGAATGGAATTGCGCCATAGATTTTCGGTGACAAGGTGTCGTTCAGGAAAGGATTGGAGACCGGAGGTGGACCAAAGGGTTCCACAGGAGGTACGTTGGCCCATCGAGAAGTAGCGGAGCGATTTTGACGAGAATTTCTTGTAGTGGAATGAAATGAAGTCATCAGTACGGTGCAGGAACGTTCGCAGACGCCGGCGCTCGCTTTGTCACAAGGCTTTTG